CGTGACCAATTGGAAGAGGCCAGAAAACCTCACGGAGATTCGTAGTTTTCTAGGGTTGGTGGGGTATTACTGACGTTTCATTAAAGACTTTTTCAAACTAGCCGATCCTTTAACCGACTTGACAAAGAAGCATGGTCGGTTTGTTTGGCATGTCAAATGCGAAATAAGTTTTCAGGAGCTAAAGAAAAGATTGACTATGGCGCCAGTTCTAATCTTGCCCAACGGAGTAGATGGGTTTACCGTCTATACCGACGCGTCGCGGGAAGGTCTGGGATGTGTGCTGATACAGAACCGGAGTGTGATATCTTTTGCCTTTAGGAAATTGAAACCCCACGGGCAGAACTACCCAACCCACGATCTTGAGTTAACCGCGGTTGTTTTCGCTCTGAAGAAGTGGAGACACTACCTTTACGGGGTGACCTTCGAGGTTTACTCAAACCACAAGAGCCTTAGGTACCTCTTTTCACAAAAGGAATTGAATATGAGGCAGCGACGGTGGATGGAATTTCTGGAGGATTACGACTGCACTATCAACTACCATCCGGGGAAGGCAAATGTGGTGGCTGATGCCTTAAGTCGCAAGGCTCAAGTAGCAGGGTTAATGATCAAAGAGTGGGATTTGTTAGAATCCGTTTGCGAGTGGAAACCCTGTCTTGGGAGTCATAAGGTGGTTTTTGGTAATATTAAGGTAACATCCACCCTACTGGAGCAAATTAAAGAAGCGCAAAAGGAGGATTCGATGGTGCGAAAGTGGGGAGAGAAGGTGAAAAAAGGGGAATCAACCGACTTCAACTTTAGTCCCGAGGGTACTCTAAAATACTGAAACCGAGTGGTGGTGCCTAAAGATGAAACGTTAAAGACGGAGATCTTAGAGGAGACTCATCGATCCAAATATACGATCCATCCGGGTAGTAGCAAGATGTACCAGAACCTAAAAGGAACATATTGGTGGGATAACATGAAAAAGAAAATCGCTCTGTACGTGCAAAAATGTCTCGTTTGCCAACAGGTTAAGGCGGAGCATCAAAAACCATCGGGTTTGTTACAACCCCTTGAGATACCTGAGTGGAAGTGGAAAAACATCACAATGGATTTCGTTTCAGGTTTGCCGCGAACGCAACGAGGACACGATGCGGTTTGGATAATCGTCGATCGATTAACCAAATCGGCCCATTTCTTGCCGGTAAACATGAAATACTCCATGGAGAAATTGGCTCAGGTGTACATGGACGAGATCGTAAGGCTACATGGCGTTCCTGTGAGCATCGTTTCAAACCGAGATCCCCACTTCGTATCTCGATTTTGGCAGAAATTCCAAGAGACTCTGGGGACTAAACTCAACTTAAGCACCACCTGTCACCCTCAGACGGATGGACAATCGGAGCGAACAATCCAAACTCTCGAGGACATGTTACGGACCTGCATTCTGGATTTTGGAGGTAACTGGGGTCAACACATGACCTTAGTAGAGTTTGCGTACAATAACAGCTACCATTCGTCAATTCAAATGGCTCCATACGAGGCACTATATGGACAGAAATGCCGGTCACCGATCTATTGGGATGAAGTCGGTGAGAGGAAGGCGGTAGATCCAGCAACTATGCCATGGATGGAAGAGGCACGAGAAAATGTCAAGTTGATACAACAAAGACTCCAAACAGCTCAAAACCGACAAAAGAGCTATGCAGATAATTGAAGAAAAGACTCAGAGTTCGAAGCTGGAGACCGTGTTTTCCTCAAGGTCACACCATTACGGAGCATCACAGCAGGTAGAGGAAAGAAGCTCCAACCGACGTTCGTTGGACCTTTCAAGATTCTCCAAAGGGTTGGTAAGGTAGCGTATCGCCTGGAACTACCGTCCAGTCTATCCAAAATTCACGACGTCTTCCACGTCTCGATGCTTAAGAAGTACTATCCCGACCCATCTCATATCTTACAGCCAGAGGAAATCGAAATAGATGAATCGCTCACTTATGAAGAGAAACCTGTACAGTTGCTAGATCGAAAAGTGAAGGAGTTAAGAAACAAGCATATTCCTTTTGTAAAGATATTGTGGAGAAACCATGGGGTAGAGGAAGCTACCTGGGAGGTGGAAGAAGAAATGCAAAAGAAATACCCTGAACTTTTCGTGAGTCAAGGTGAGAAATTTCGAGGGCGAAATTCTTCTAAGGGGGAGAGGGTGTGAGAACCCGTAAATTTTCTCATTTTCTAGGTTTTATTCTTTTTAAGTGCATGCTTTTCTGCATTTTCTTTATTAGAAAAATTTTCTAGATAACTTTTATGAGTAAAAATAGTTTTTAAATTATTTTTCTAGTATCGGTTAGTCTTTGAGAAATTAAGAGCGTATACCGGACGTGGGACCCGCTAGTGCGGAAAGATCGGTAAAATTCGGCCAGTTAGGCTAAGTTTTGTATACCAGGTTTATTTTACCGGGTGTTGAGAGATAATTAGAGGTTCCCAAATGGATTAGTGTGGGAGAGACAAAAGGATAGCTTTGCATTTAATGAGAGTGACAAGTGTCACTTGGTGAGTTGATCTTGATTTTGACCACTATTTACCACTTTACCAATTAAACAAAAATTGACCAAGAAAGCTTCATTTTCTTCACTCCTTTGGCCGGCCTCTCAAGAAGAAAAAGAAAGGGAAAAGCTCTCAACTTTCTTGCCTCAATCTTGCTCAATCTAGAAAATCAACCGTTTAAACTTCCAATTTCTCCATAAAAACCTTTAGTTGAGTAGTAGTGGGGTTGATTGTGAAGTGGTTTGGAAGCAAGAGGTGTTAAGTTGGTTTCTTTCTTGAGTTGCAAGGTGAGTAATTAAGGAACATCTCTTTTGTTCTTAGTAATGTTAAATTAGTGGCTTGTGTGAGTAAAAGAGATGGTTTTAGGTGTTATTTCATGACTTGTGGTTGAGATTGGTGAATTTTATATTTATTCTTGATTTTTTCTGTTTTTATATGTTTAGTATTGTGTGGCCATGGATGATGGCTTGGGATAGTCTAGAATGAAGCTATAGTGCGTAAATTGTAGCTAATTGCGAAAAATTTCCACTTTGTGCGGAAAATTCCAGATTAGGGTTTCAAATAACCCCATTCTGCCTGGTACTGTTTGGATAGGAAAAAGGCCGAATTTGCCTTGGGTTAAAACATGAAAGTTGTAGAAAATAATGTTTAATAGTTGCCTCTAAAATTTCAGCCCAATCTGAGCTCGGTAGCTTGAGAAAAGACAGAAATACCCGGACTGCTGTAGGTAGAGTTCGGTGAACAGGGTTGACATTTCACCCGATCTGGCCTTGTCTGTTTAGCTTGATGCGTACTGATTTAACCTTTGGTCAAAACACAAAAGTTGTAGTGTTGTGTCTTAGCTTTCCAACGCCCTTGGAAACGCCCCAATTGGACTCGGTCGCCTGAGTTATGGTCATTTAACCAGAATGCGGTTAGCTAACCTGTTTGTGCGATTCTGGTTTGGTACATTGAAATTTTGACCTAGTTACACTGTAAACTGGACTGAATGGCCTTCTTCAACATTGTATCCCTTTCTCTTAGTTTCGAAACGGTGTATATTGCACCTCAATCCGACAAGGGTAGCTTTAGTTGTGTTCATTCCGCTAAGTACACTACAAGAAAATTGTTCATCAGTGACAACACAAAGTCATCACAGAACATACAAATATCGTCACAAATACCTTTTATTGACGACTTTTTGATCGTCACAAAGTCGTCACTAAATCCCCGTCATCACAAATAGTTATCATTAGTGACAACTTTAAGTAGAGCATTTTTGACAAAAGATCAAGTCGTCAACAAAACACTTCCGGATTGTCGTCACTAATGACAACTATTTAGTGACGACCTGAAATGTCGTCACTAAATAGTTGTCATTAGTGACGATAATCCGGAAGTGTTTTATTGATGACTTGATCTTTTGTCAAAAATGCTCTACTTAAAGTCGTCACCAAAAAGCACCGAAAGCCATTGTATATAACTATTTTACTGACAACAATTGTCGTCACAAATGTAGCTTAGATTTAGTGACAGTCTCTGTTGTGACAAGGAGTTTTTATTTTCTATTTTGTGACAACTTTTTTTTGTCATTAGATAATTTCTCAATAGCTTAATAGTCATAATTTGGCGACTGATATCATTGCTAAATCATTGATTTTAAACAAACCATACAAATAAACATGAACGATTGATAACCAAAAGTATTTGCATTAGATTACATGGTAATAATATAGCATTCTCAAATGCCAAATTCAAGTGTACATTACCCAACTAATGCCTACAAAAATAACATTTGTCCAAAATATCACTTGTACATAAGGTACATTTACAAAAGTAATCACAGTTTAAGAAATTGAAGAATATCTAAATGAACCACTCCATGAGCAAAAGGCAATTTTGTCTTCAACATGCTTCAACCATAACCATAGATATCTTCCAAAAGCTAGTATGAATAGCATTTATCTGTCATAAAAGAGTAAAAGAAGTAGGTAAGGGGAGGAGTACAATAATAAAGAACAAGTAATGAGACTTAGATTATTAAGACAAAAATTACAATTCATTGAGAACCTCATATAATTTGGGCCCACATATTACAACACCAGCAAGAAGTTAGAAATCACAGTCCAATCTATACAAATACAACACTGCATAAGCTCAACTAAAGAGCTCTCTAAAACAGTCCACAGTGACCACAAGTTACCAAAAACTACAGATCAGCCATAACCATAACCATAAACTACACAACTATAACAAAAAATAGTCCACAATGATGCATAACATCAGCCCCAAAAAATGCTATTACCAGCTATTACCAAAAAATAGTCCACAGTGACCACAAGTTACCCAAAAACAGGTCACATCAGCCCCAAAAAATGCTATTATCAAAAACAGTCCACAATGATGCATAACATCAGCCCCAAAATCAATAAGTTAAAGGATAAAAATAGCAATAGCTCACATTAGTATTGTAATTCAATTATTCGTATGAGAAGGATGCATTACCAGCTATTACTACCAGATGCATTTCCATTGCCTTGGTTCTTGGACTGTAATTCTGCTCGTAAAGCCTTGAGGAGTTCCTGCATTTCAAGCTGCTGGTTTTGCATTTCAGCTTGTTGATTCTCAAGCCTTTGCATCAGTTGCTGTTGAGATTGGACTTGAACTTCCAATTCAGCTGATCGTTTCTCAGCTTGTTCTACCCTTTTTTTGAATTCTTCTATCTCTGCAAGTTTTTGTGTAATTAAACTAGCCTTGGAGGGGCCACGACCACGTACATATCCAGTTATACGCCCTGTCACCTCAATACAGATGTCTTCTTCGGTTCGATTTACACCACTAGATTGAGCTTCTAGCTGTAACTCCTTCATTTTGCTCTACAATCACAGGTTTGCTATTATTGATATATGCATAAGAGACATGAAGCATTGGTATTCAGTTGAAAGTGATATTTTTCTTACCAGTTTTTCAGTTGATGTCTCGTCAACCATAGCATTCTTCTTTCGACTAAAATGTGTCATGTCATAAAGTTCAATTGGTCCAACTGTCCTTCCCTCCTTAGCTTCCTATTAGTAAAACAGGTCAAATAACCCAACCACACATCATAAATGAACTACTTTACACGTTTACTGACCCGGTCATCCTTATGACGTAAAAATGATTTCGTTCCAGCTGTATGGGCAGTTTGCTGCTTTGATCTGTTCAGCTTATTTCGCTCACTTAAGGCCTACAATTGTCAATTCTATCTCAGATCTAGATAAAAAAGAGACATTGGCAAAGTATATAGCAAATTAACAAGTATGTGCTACACATACCTTGAATTCTGGACTACAATAGTAATCGCAAAGGTAAATCCAATCTGATTCTTCCACATATTCTGGTCGACGTGCAAGAGCTTCCTCCTCTGAGCCATATTTTTTGAATAGCATGTGAAAATTATAACGTCGACTTCTATACTGTGAATTTAATTGCTTAATTAAAGCTGGTTTCATATGCTCTCCTCCATCATAAGTGAAACTATTCTGAATTAAAAATAGAAGGACATATCAAAATCAGAAAAAATTAATGGACTAATTTAAATTGCGTCTAGAAAACCAAAAAAATACTATGATAGCAGATTCTTACATTAGTAATTCTTAGCAGTTGATCTCTATCATCTTTAGGAAGCTTGCCCCATTTAGGTGCTTTCCACTTGCCATACTTTCGAATAACACAGCTTGCCTCTGAAATGTATCGCTGAGCACTTTCTCCAACTAGTCTTCCACTTATTTCAGAAACAGTAATGTTCACCTTTTTTCCAGCTTTCTTTTCATTTGATAGTGCAATATTACGCGTATATCCTCTTTTTTTCTTTTTAACGTCACTTGGTCTAGTAGATACAACGTAAACAAGACCATAAGTGCTAACAATAGCAGCCATGGCAGTAATTAGTTAATTAGAGTAGAATTACACGTAAAACTGACATACCTGAACCGTTTGACTCAAGGTCTTGCATACTTTCAGTTTCATTGCTTTCGCAACCAATAGCTTGATTAGATCCAACATGCTGTGAAGTAGGAGTTCCATCAGTTTGCATCCCAGCAGCTTCTTGTGATGTCATTCCATGCCTAAAGATTTTTCAGCAATCTGTCTACTCTCAGCTTGTATACCTGAATTTCTTGTAGCATTTTCTCTAGCAGGATGCACTAGGAATCCATAATCCAGCAATTTAAGCCACCATTATACAACGACATGTAAAAGTTGAATCAATTGCTTTGTCATAAACCAGTTTATCTAAGTGGCAGATTGAAAAAAATAATAACTAACCTCAGATTCATCAAATAGACGGATCCTAGAAGACCTTTTTGTTAATACAGGTTCAGTGACATTGCTTGTCTTGGGAATTGCACTATATTTTGGTTCACTAGCTTGCTACAATAACATAAGAATGCGCTTATCAATAGTAACTAGTTTAGGATGATAATTGCTAGTTTAGGAAAAAAGAAAATATCTGGAAATGACTCTTGTTTCTTTACCTGACAGCTTACATTTTCTTCAGTTTGCTCCACAATTCCTCGCCCAGCATCCCGACTTTGTCGTAAAGTAAATTTTCCTTTTTTCCCCGGTCCAACCATCTATCTACATAATCATATAACGCAAGCACCACCAAAATCGTAAACAACACAATCAGCCATGACAACATATCATAAACTACAGAAAAAATACAAGAAAAAATTTGATTAAGAAATTCAATGAACAACATTGTTTAATCTGATTCATAGTCATCGATTTGTACAAATTGTTCATTTTCATCCTCAGAATTGAATTGTTGCTCAATTTCCTCATCATTATCAATAAAATTGTCATCCAATTGCCTTGTACGGCTAGCTGACAATTCTATAAAAAACATAGCACCAGCCTCTATCCTTTCTTCAGTTTGCACATCTCCTCTCTTCAAACTGACCAACTCAAGATTTTCTTGTACACCAATCAAATCTTCATGATACTCTTCTTGGTAAGCCTCTTCGTTATCAACCAAATCATCTTCATGCTTCTCAGGAACATCATAAGATGAGCGTGGACTAACTAACTCTACAACATGCCAATTACCTCCAAGCTTCATATCTTGAAGATAGAAAACTTGTTCAGCTTGGGATGCTAATATAAAAGGCTGGTCTGAGTACCATGTCGTCTGAGTACCATGTTTTTGACATGTTGATGCTAGTGATATTGCTCTGCTTGTCTACTTTGATTCCCGAAGTATTTCTCAAGTCCCACCAATCACATTTAAACACAACTACTCGATTTTGAGTAAATGAGTATTCAACCTCAACTATATCAGTAATTGTACCATAGAAGTGTGTTTCTTTATCAGCATGCTCCCCCTTTACCATAACTCCACTATTTTGTGTCTTTCTTTCTCTTTCCCGAGCCTTAATGTGGAATCTAAATCCATTCACATTACAGCCAGCAAATGTATTGACTCGAAAATCAGGTCCTCTAGCCAAGGACAACAATTCATTAGTACATTCTCCACGTGCATGTGTATACATGACCTACATCAGCCATACCAGATTCTTTAATAGTTTACTAAAATAAAAAGTAAAGGAAATTGACATGTTTTTAACTTCTCTTCCAATACTTACACGTTCTTCAAACCACTTTGAAAACTCCGAGTCTAGCCTTTGCTGTACGCTCGATAAATTTTGCTTTTCAAGAATTTGTGTATGCTCCCTAAATTTGTAGTAGTGGAAGTAGTTACATATTCTATCAAATGACTTTAATTACAAGCAATGAAGAACATATTATAGAACACGGCATAGATTTAGCATTAAAGTATATTATTACCTCATGTAATCATCTACTTCTTCACAATTTTTCAAGATGAACAGGTGTATTCTTTGCAATTCAACCTCACTTAGATAACCAATCAGTGCTGCCCCAAAGGGCCGAGCCAAGCTAGAAAATATAGATAATTTTCCAGCAGCTTCGTGTTTCTCCATATTTCGTTCCGTTTGATTAAACCTGGTCGGAACATCATGCAAATACCTGGAAATGAATGTAAGACATTCATCATCCAAGTACCGCTCAGCTATACAGCCTTCAGGTCGTGCCCTATTATTCACATAGCCTTTGTATTGACCCATTTTTCTATCCAAAAAAAATTCAGCCCAAGTTGTTAGAAAATCAGAAAATTGGAGGTAAATCAAATAGGCATTATTAAAAATAAGAGGCATGTACCTCTCAAATGGAAACATCCACCGGTATTGGGCTGGTCCAGCAATCTTGGATTCAGTGGGTAAATGGACCATTACATCAAAGAAATTTGGAGGAAAAATTTTCTCAAGTTTGCATAGTATTAAAATAATATTTTTTTCCTGCATTTCCAGCTCATCTAGATAGAGAGTTTGAGAACAAATTTTTCGAAAAAAATTGCTGATCTCTACTAAAATCTAGATACATCTTTTGACAGCATTCCTCTAGTTGCTAGTGGAAGAAGTCGTTGTATGAACACATAGTAGTCATGACTCTTCATTCCTAAAAGTTGACACTCCTTGGTCTTCACACATCGAGGAATGTTTGAAGCAAAGCCATCCGGGAACTTGATAGTGCTCAAAAACTGGCAGAAATTCTTTTTCTCTGGGCGTGATAAAGTGTAACATGCAGGTGGCATAACTTTAGATGTGCCACCTCCCGGTTATAGATGCAACTCTTCCCTTAATCCCATTTCTTTTAAATCCTCCCTAGCCTGCCATGTGTCCTTAGTTCTCGAAGGGATATTCATTAATGTACCTACCAAAGATTCACATACATTCTTGACAATGTGCATAATATCCAAATTATGTCTAATTTTATTGGTACTCCAATATGGAAGTTCAAAGAATATGCTCATCTTCTTCCAATTTGAACTGTTCTGCACGCGTTTTCTTTTCTTCTGTTGCAGCAAATCAGGTGCCTTGCCAAACTCAACTTGCTCAATACGAAGAAGTTGTTGGAGGACTTCCTCACCTGATAGGGTCCTAGGAGGCTGTCTATGTTCTCTTTCTCCATTAAATTGCTTTTTTTCTCGACGCCATTTATGATCAATAGGCAGAAAACGGCGATGGCCCATGTAACAACATTTGTGACCATTATTAAGATATAGACTAGTCGTCTCATCTAAGCACACAGGACATGCCTTGTACCCTTTTGTACTCCATCCCGACAAATAGCCATATGCTGGAAAATCGTTTATTGTCCACAAAAGTGCTGCACGTAACATGAACTTCTCCTCCCTGAAGGCATCATATGTCTCCACACCAGTGGCAAATAACTCTTTTAACTCATCAACTAGTGGTCTAAAGAATATGTCAATGTCATTTCCAGGTGCTTTGGGACCAGGAATAATCATTGATAGGAAAAAAAATGGATCTTTTAAGCATTTCCAAGGAGGTAGATTGTAAGGAACAAGGATAACAGGCCATCTACTGTATGAAATGCTCATGGTTCCAAAGGGATTAAAGCCATCACTAGCAAGTCCTAGCCTCACATTTCTAGGATCTTCAGCGAAGGACTTGTGATTTCTATCAAAATCCTTCCAAGCTAATGAATCAGCAGGGTGTCGCATCATGTTCTCATTATCTACACGTCTCTCCTTATGCCACCTCATATCCCGAGCAATCTCTTTGTTCACAAACAGTCTTTGCAGCCTTGGTTTTAATGGAAAATAACGCAACACCTTTCTACGTATTTTGGAATTTGGAGATTTATACCGCGGTGCTTTACATTTTTCATTTGGACAATGATCAAGGCCTTTATTTTCATTCCAAAAAAGTGCGCAATCATTTTCACAGGCGTGGATCTTTTCACACTTCAGCCCCAACTCACTGATGAAATTTTTTGCCTCGTAATATGAACTGGGAATCAAAGCTGTAGGAAATACTTGATGCAAGAACTTCAGCAACATATCAGTAGATTTACAAGTCCACCGATTCATTGTTTTCAAGTGGAGGATATGGACAATAAACGAGAGTTTTGAATACTTTTCACAGCCCGGGTATAGAAATTTTTCAGCCTCCGATAATAATCTGAGAAACCTACTTGCTTCTCCTTCTTTCTCGGTACAAGCACCCGTATCAAGTTCCGGTGAATGTCTCCAACTCTCACCAAAGTTAGCAACTCCTACATCATTTAATAGCTCCTCCATACTGTCAAAGTCACTATCATTGTCACTTATTTCTATGTCATCATTCTCATCATCAGATTCAAACCCTTCGCCATGATATATCCACCTAGTATAACTATCAACAATTCCTCGACACAAGTGATTAGCCATGACTTCCTTAGTTTGATCCTCAAAATTATTGCATACTTTGCAAGGACATGGCAGTTTACAATTAGGATCCTTGCCTAGAAAAGCAAACTTAATAAATTCATCAACTCCATCTAAATACTTGGGGTCGAGGTAGTTCTTAATAGACATCCAACTCCTATCCATATTGTTACAGCCCTTTATCCTACCATAAAGAATATGACCGCCACATTATATAAAAAACAAATGCAATGTAATATGAACTAAATTTAAACTCCTCAAATACTAGCAATGGGATCCAAGGTGTAAAACACATTTTTAGCAAAAATCAACCATCTCAAGTACAAATGCATTAGTAAGGCAACAAACTAAATAGAATCTGCAGCCACAGTATACATGCAAAAGTTTGGCAAACAAAAGATAAAGCAATAACATGAATAATCAATTTCATAGGCTGATTTTGCTAGCTAACAGCACATTACATGTTCAAAAAACATAGGATCAGGCATCATATATTTGTAAAGGGAAGATGCCCAACGCAGAAATAATAGAAGAGTAAAGCACAAATATAAATTTCAAGCCTGAATAATGGTAAGAAGGAACAGTACCTGAAACTCAGACCACTCAATTGGTTTTCTTTTCCTACCAA